TTTCTTTTACTGTCGAAATTATGCTGTTGAGTCTACATGCTTCCATCCGGTCCACCAACACGGCACGAAGCAGTCACCAGTTGGGTGGGTTGGAGGGCAATGAATGACCCTTGGCTTTGTGCTCCAGCTTGGATGGCTTTTTAGCAAAATTAGAGAACTTTAATGAAAAAAGACTTTCATAAGCATATAGCTCAAATCTGTTTGTTGATGACTGTACAGTTTTTTATGACTTTTTTCACAATTTTAAACAAAAAGAGAGTTCTGGAAGGGCGCTGTGTGTTTTTGGATTCGTTCCATTAAAAACTACATCCAGAACTCGTCGGATTCGTATCGCAAAATTTCTAGGATAAACATTTTTGCACTTAATCAGTCCAGTTTCAGGGACATCCCTTCATTAGGCCCCCACTCAGGATCGCGGCGGAATTTGAGTGCGTTGGGCCCTATATAATTCATATGTGGACAGCCTACGTAAAAGTCAGTGCTTTTATCCTCCCCGACAGACTTGCCATCGATCTCTCTTGCTAACAAATCGACTCTCAGGGAAGCGCGGCTGATCTGAACCGGTGGCGATCCGGAGTTTGATCCCCGTACAATGCGTCTGATAGCGCGGCATTAGGCGCTACACCACCGCCTCTCTTTGTACTATATGCTAAGAAAACAGAAGTCTCTGCAACTAGTTTCACAGGTAGACGGGTCAAAGTTCTCCAAACCAATAAAAGATGTGAACACGTTGAACACCTACGAGGACCTCAAACAATGGCGACCGTGTACCGAACGAAGGCCATTTCGTCGAACGCGTTCGCGTTTACTATTGGAAACTTCCGTGCACTATCATGTGACAAGCACAAACAACTTTCACGACGTATTGTCAAAAAGAATCGCACCCTGCCGATAGTTGCGTAATAGTTTGACGGGGCTGACGAGGCAGGTTGAACTTTGGGTATCTCCTGCTGTTTCGTCATTCCGGGTAAAAAAAATGGATCCCGACGATTCGATTGATCAAACTGGACTCAATTTAATTACTCATCGAAAAGTTTGCTAACAGAAGGATCTATTGCGAAATGTGGCATTACCGAAAAGCAAGAACGCGCGATTTTGCTGGTGTGTCATAGAACTGGTATGGGTTGCTTTCTTGAATCGGCCGCTACCGCAGGACGTCACCTGAGCCTCCCTTCACGATGGACAAGCTTCACTTCCTAAAGGAACCGAACAATGACGACAGGATTACCTCGAGCTCAGACTTGGCCGATCGTCACGGCTATGGAGTGAAAATCGTGTTCGGAGACCTTGGCACTTACTGCTTCGCTTTACTACATAACTATACGCCATTTCACGTGTAGGGGCAGTAGGAACGAAGTCGTCGCGTCGCGGTGAGTGAGGGAAGCGCGAAGGAATGTAGCAGGATGCAGCAGCAAGTAAGAAGTTCAGGAGCAAAAGAACCAACCAAAAGAAACATGCCAAAAGTAATAATTGCATAGCGATTGAGCTGTATGAAGAACGCTGGAACTGTTATAAAGAGGGATATGGTCCGCGACAGCCGCGTGCGGCGGATCGATTGCCCAAAACCGTTCCTACTGCCCGTCTCCCCCATTTCACTAGCACCCATTCCCGCTCACACAGCTCAGAGTGAAAGTAAAGATTTTGAAGTTTTAAAAATGTTGGATCTATAAGGTCATAAACTACAAGTTTTACTTAAAAGTTACAAGCTGTAAGGTAAAATTTATTCAGCGGGTTCCGACGTAATACTTGGACCTCACTGTTTCCGGTAACTTATAACGATACTTCGTTTTTTTTTTTTTGAAAACTTATCACAATTACTATCTGAACTGTAGGCTCCTGATCCTCAGCTTCTGTTCTCATCCGTGTTTATTTTGTAAAATTGTGAAACTAGTTCAGAAACGACATTTTTATGAAATAAATGATAAATTTTACATATTCTACTCGATTATATTAGGTTGATTCATAATTATTGCAAATTTTTTCGCGGCTTTTTTTCTCCCGAAAGTGTTTGACTATTGAGTTCGGGCTTTTTCTAGAAATGATCTACTTGATCTCCTCTACAAGAATATACTCAAAAAACTATCCGCATATTCGCGAAATTAGGCTTAACTACTTCGAGAAAGGTTGGAAGGTGGCA